TGTAGTGGAGGCCATATGATCCAAACGCAGCTGACTTTGTGAGGGGGTGCACTAACCCTATTATCCTTTGATATCTTTCCTTGCAATTCCAGTCCTGTGTATTATTTGTCCAAGACCGTATCGAGCGCGTACCCTCTACCAGGGCCACAGGTTGATTTTTCACCAGATATCCACAGATAATTTTTCTCACAAAATATGGTCAATCTTCTAACTGTGGCTGGTGGAAAATATGCCAATAATATATCCCGCCCTGGTAGAGAGTAGCAAGCATGAAGGCTTCATTCAAGCGATTCTTCACGAAATAAGCGGTGATATGTGAGAGAGAGTCCTCCATGATAGAGAGTCTGCTTACCATTCATTTGTACAGGTAATTACACCTCGCTCTAGATTTTGATCCACTTATAATTAGGTCATACGTACTAACCCTTACCACTATAAGAAGGGGGGACTTTCTGTTACATGGACCCTCAGTCTTGGTACACCAGCACTGTATTCGGCATCACTCAATGTAAAAAGGACCCAATTTTCCTGTGCTTCATGAAGCACTATGCTCTTCTTTCACATTAAATTTTAACTTCCAATTACCTTGAACATGATATGATGCCTGAATGTTAGTTTTCTAATTTCATATTGTGATTCTTTTCACCATGAAACAACCTGAAACACTGAATTATGGTAACATCAGGCACCACTAACCCATATAGCTTCATTACAAATATTTTTTGTAATAAATAAAAAAGATTATATTGTTGCAACTTGTTTTTATTGGTAAAAACACACAACTGTGTAATAGATTTAGAAGTATTTATTTTACCTGAAGAGATAAAAAGATAGTGTATTTGCACAACCACAACCAGTCAGTTACAAAAGAGTGAATCTATATGTTACAATGAATAAAACGCTTAATTTAAACAAAATAACTAATCCAATACATACACCCATTTAATAATATAACTAAACTAGAGGATCAGAGAGGCGATATCGCCTTCTGTTATAGTACCACCAGCTGGAGTAAGCGCATTCGTATGGAAAACCAAAAAAAAAACAGGTCACCACCACCACCACCAGTGTTAAGCTTGACAAGCTCTATAAAATGCAATAAACAAGAGTTCTCAAAATATGCAAAAAGAAGTGAAAAAACAGCATAACTGTAAAAACAGTCTGATCAAGCTTATTTTCGAATTAAGCTGTATTTTTGTAATATTGATCACTCCTGTGATTTTCAAGACAGTAGACATATGGGTTTTCCTTGAAATGTGTTATCAGCGTTGCATATGTGTTGGATAAAAAGAAAACCCAGGAGAAACACTGGGCACATCTCTGCCAGATTTGAAGATATGAGGGGCAGAAAATATGCAAAGTTCAGTTCATGGTGAAAAGTAGGTCAAAGGTCAATTTCAGAGTCACTGTTAGATTGGCATTATATGTCTTCCTATTCAAGTTCAATAGTAACTATGCGCATTTCTTTGTCAGTTTTGGAGATGTAAGAGCTAGAAGATTTGCAAAGTTCAGTTCATGGTGAAAAGTAGGTCATATGTCAATTTCACGGTCACAGTAAGATTGCCAGTATACGACTTCTTATTCAAGTTCAACAGTAACTATGGGCGTATCTTTGCCAGTTTTCCAGATGTAAAGGATAGAAAATTTGCAAAGTTCAGTTCATGGTGAGAANACGCCCAGGCCAATGCACCGACTGAGACAAAAAAACCAGGGGGTTCAAGTTGAGATTATATGTGACCTAAATCCAAGAGATGGGGACACAGGTCCTTGCGGTCTAGGAGGAGAAGCGGTAATGGTGACTTGTATCCCACGCCATCCTGCGGAGCCGGCGGAGCTGCAGGAGCCGGCGGAGCTGTACGAGACGGGTCGGGACTAAAACCATGAGTACCGCCAGCGTACACGCTGGTGGTACTAATAAATAATGTTTCATGGCAATGGAATTTGAAAGAATAATTAGCTCACCTGTAAAAATAAAAAGATACTGGTCAGTTACAAAAGAGAGCGAAAAAGGGCACGGCAACAGACGCTGATCAGGTGAACACGACTGTTATCACATGAGAGAATTATCTAATCAACCCCTGCTCAAGATGATGAAAGAAAGAAAGAAAGATATACATACAATATAAAAATGGATGTGGTGAAAAATACACAAGATGAGACTTATACCCTGTCACAAAATAAATTCGCCCATGCATGGCTTCATTTTACAACACTGGACTTCTGTCCTCAAAAATTTCTGCATTAAAAATCTGTGACACTTCAAATCTACTATTTCTTGAACTTCAAAAATAGCCATGGTCAAAGTCTAGTGAAGAGATTTAAAAATGTAATATTACTTCACACTATTACTACTGAGTGCTTTTTTTAAATTTTTAGACCTTATATGCATTAAATAACTTTATAAACAATAATGTAATCTACATAATAATAAAATAATAATAATAATCTAAAAGAAAACACAAATAGTTTTTTTTTTTAATATTTTTTTAAAAATCTCATTGAAGATAGCTAACCATTAAAATACCAGAATAAAAAGAAAAACTTGGCTATTTGATCTGGCTATAAATACTTAAGTTATCATCTTAATATACCTCTATAATACTTCATATTACGTATCCACCTCAACCATATGAAAGGAACAGCAGGAAAAATATCAATAACTAGAAAAAGCACTCAGGAAACACAACCTCCGCTAGGACAAATAATAATTAATAATCAACCATTTCATAATTAATGAATTGTCAACAAAATCTTATATTATATCTTCATCAGCTCATGCCCGAGCTTTCTTGAAATTCTAATTAATTAATTAGCTATTCACTTAATAAGTTAGTACCCTTCCACTAAATCTTAACTTTTTTGCATATAATGACAATAATTCATTTCAGAAAATCACAACCTATATGCAAAATTAAATGTGCAAAAGGATCATGTATGTATAAACATTTAAAATTCAAAGGTTACATAAGATCTGATTATGTATGAAGTCTGAAACCTTGAAAAACGAGTTTGTGGAAAGGTAAACTTTAACATTTACTGTCATAAATACAATATTATTACTCAGAATATTGTAACTACTTCACCATTTTACCATGCTGCTGTCAAAGCAATCAATTTTATTTGCTTTATTGAACAACACAAGAGTTCGGTCTGAAAATGTAAAGAATTGTCTCATTTCAAGACAACAAACTGGACAAGAAAGACCACGTCTCTCCTATGGCGCGACTTGTGAACAACTCATAGTAATAACAACATTAACTTAAAAGCAACTCAATCACGTGAATAAAAACATGAATAACTATACAACAAAATACAGTAACTAATAAAACGGAATGTACATGTATCAAAAATAAACAAATTACAATAAATGCAACGGAATGTGAAGTAGAAAAGGAATGATAAAGGGTGAATAATAAGAAACCAAAAGGTGAATACCAAATAAAACATATATAATGTGAAAATAAACTCACGCCTACCTGAAAATGTAAAGAATTGTCTCATTTCAAGACAACAAACTGGACAAGAAAGACCACGTCTTTCCTATGGCGCAACTTGCGAACAAAAAGCTTATGAAAATACACGAACAAAGACGAACAAATACGAACACAATGAGAGCACAAGGAGAGCGCAACTAAAGTATTTTGCCTGTCACACTGCTAATCAGCTTTTTTACAAAATAAAAAAAGGTACTTCTGTTTTGTCTTAGGTATTTTAGCCTGCAAATAATGGATTTCACAACTCGACACTTAAAGTCATAATAACTCTTCATTTTGGCCAAAAATTGGATTTTCCTGGAGTAAACGGCAATTTTCCCGTACTTACCAATGGTCAGCGACCCCATTCCTGCATTCAAAGTTAATCCAGGGTTTTTTCCTAAACGTACGGTTTTTTGTTAAAATCTCTTAAGAGATTTTAACTGACGGAGCTCTCTCTGACATCGCATAGTCACTGTTGACCTACTTAAAACCGCGGGAAAAGCAGACAACAACAACACTATATAAGATTCATGAGATATATTCGTCTTTTTGTTAAAAATACATTAATATCCACAATGTGTGCCATTCTGGGCTTTTCGTTATCCGACGCACTGTACAAAAACTCGCAACTTACGTCTGCGTCTGCATTAATGCGTTTGCCGCCATATGTTATTTTGGTCTCGAATGAACGCGAGAATCCGCGTGACACCATTACGTCATTAGCAACGAATGCCTTGATGACCGGGAAGAAAAGCATCGTAAGCCCTATTGACAAGCACAGATTTTAGTTTTACTACAATAACGGCCGTTTTAGTGGTAAAATACAATAGAATATATTTCCATGCGTTGTTTACAATGTATTTCATGCGGAATTTTGAATCTCAAAGGAAGAGTTATTATTGCTTTAAAAAAGGATTTCTGGCCTATTCTAATTCACCAGTGCCTATATCCACTAAAAACACATATATTATATATGTTTAAACACAACCTTTTACAACCGGCCTTATGCCAATCAAATTCTAAAATTTACATTAAGGTTAATATCATCAAAATGTCTTCAGAACAAGTCAGTTCCCAAATCGCCCATTAAGAAGTGGGTCGCAGTTTACTTCTTTATGTTCACCAGCAGTTTTTTTTATCCAATTGTGACTGTCTTGATGCTTTCATGGGGTCTTCAAAATATCAAGTTATTTTTTTGTGTTCACAACACAAAATTACATGACACACAATGTTTGACAGTCTTTGAGACAATTTCAATATAGGTACACAGCCATCAATATAAACAGATGCCAGAGAAGAGCTTGATTTCTTCTGGATCATTTCTCTTGTATTCGCCAGAGTAGCAATAAAATGCAACAAATCGGTGAAGATATTTTGAATCATCCACGTCTCAACAATCCATTTGTAACTCTGTCTGTATTGTACCACAATCCATCTCAGTTTGTCAAAAATTAATCACAATGATGTGACTATAAATACAGTAAACTGGACGGCCGGCCATTAGACCTGATGCAAGAAGTTAAATCAAAATCCCTCATAATTTGCCAAGTTTGCTGCCTCTGACCACGCAGCATGTCGAGCCCCATCCATTTCTCCAGCCAACTGATTGTCATCCCGAAGTCGATGACTCTGTCCGCCAATACAAGCCTTACACTCAGGACATGTTGCTTCTTCCATGGCGCCACCACAGTCTCCGATTGCGTACACATGACCTGACAATGAAGGGTATACTTTTGTATTAAGCATTTGCTATTTAGCATTCAAAGGTTAAAGCACTTACAGGGGCGATTTGAGGTCTTTGATTTTTTTTTCTGTCAGAAGATGGTCAAAAATAGAGGATGCTTCTACAAAGATACTTTGGAAGACTGTCAGAAAATTTATCTGGGTGTGCGCCCGACTTATCAACATTTTTGAAATTTGCATGAGACCATCAAACAGTTCAGTACCTTCTTCAGGGGTAAATGACAGGTGTTGTTATAAAATGTGGCTGTTCATAGTGGTAAGTACACAAAATCTACAGATGCAAAAATTTACATGCCAAAATGAAAACCAAGGAGACCACTATAAGTCTATAAGCTGACTTTATATTCAAATCAAACTTACCATTTGGACACTTAAACCAATGCCCTTGGGTCAGGTCCATGGCTTTAACAATTTCCTGGCGTTCTGTGTCTGTGATTCCTAGTCCCGAGGCTGGACAGGCCTGCTTCACATCATAGTATATTCTCTTCACTTTTGCCTCTCTTTCTGGAGAAAGTGGTTTCTTGTCACACAGTAGGGTTTTCACGCAATCAAACCAATCTGATAATTCGGGGGACAAGGTCCCCCCGCTGTTCTCTATTTGGGTTTTCATGATGTACCAGTTGCCCAGCAGGGCCAGGCGAGTTGTCTCTGCACTAAACTGGGTTGTCTCCTGCTGGCTCATGTGAGAGCGAGGCTGAACGACCCAGGTATAAAGGGATGTGAGCTCCTTCATAATGTCCTTGAGTTCACTAGCATATTTCCCAGTTTTCTTCTGCTGTTCTGCAAGCTTCGCCTTCATGCCAGACAGCCTTTTAATTAAGTTGATTTGATTCTCAATAAAGGCCAACTGATCGGCAGAAACAGTTCCACCTGTAATCTTGGATTCAAAATCGGCAAAGATGTTCTGCGCATGAGGCAAGCCACTTGGATCAATATTGATTTCAGAAATTTCCCTTTGAAGACGGCTCTGAGTTGTAAGGAGTATATCCCTATCAACAGCCAACTTCATTTTCACTAATTCTACATTTGCTAACTGAGTGTTGATCTGCTTGCCATAACGCAGGTTTCTCCTAATGGTTGTCTTACACAANGCCGGACGAGACGGGTCGGGACTAAAACCATGAGTACCGCCAGCGCACACGCTGGTGGTACTAATAATCTCAAAGAAAACACAATTGGACCCACAAAGAGCTTTAAAAATTTTTTTTTTAAATCTCTATGAAGATAGCTAACCATTAAAATACAATTCCATCACCAGAATAAAAAGAAAAACTTGGCTATTTGATCTGGCTATAAATACTTCAGTTATCATCTTATTATACCTCTATAATACTTCTTATTACGTATCCACCTCAACCATATGAAAGGAACAGCAGGAAAAATATCAATAACTAGAAAAGCAACCTCTGCTAGGACAAATAATAATTAATAATTCACCATTTCCTAATTAATGAATTGTCAACAAAATCTAATATAATATCATGCCCGAGCTTTCTTGAAATTCTAATGTAATTAATCATTTATTCAATTATAAAGAAAGTGCCCTTCCACTAAATCTCAACTTTTTTTTGCATATAATGACAATAATTCATTTCAGAAAATCACAACCTAAATGCAAAATTAAATGTGCAAAAGGATTATGTGTGTATAAACCTTTAAAATTCAAAGGTAACATAAGATCTGATTATGTATGAAGTCTGAAACCTTGGAAAACGAGTTCGTGGAAACGTAAACTTTAACATTTTATGTCATTTTACAATATTATTACGCAGAACATTGTAACTACTTTTAAGTTCAAACCATTTTACCATGCTGCTGACAAAGCAATCGGTTTTATTTGCTGTATTGAACAACACTAGAGTTGGGTCTGAAAATGTTAAGAACTGTCTCATTTCAACACATCAAACTGGACAAGAAAGACCACGTCTCTCCTATGGCGTGACTTGTGAACAACTCATAGTAATAACAACATAAACTTAAAAGCAACTCAATCACACGAATAAAAACATGAATAACTATACAACAAAATACAGTAACTAATAAAACGGAATGTATCAAAAATAAACAAATTACAATAAATGCAACGGAATGTGAAGTAGGAAAGGAATGATAAAGGGTGAATAATAAGAAACCAAAAGATGAATACCAAATAAAACATATATAATGGGAAAATAAACTTACGCCTACCTGAAAATGTAAAGAATTGTCTCATTTCAAGACAACAAACTGGACAAGAAAGACCACGTCTTTCCTATGGCGCAACTTGCGAACAAAAAGAATACGAAAATACACGAACGAAGACGAACAAATACGAACACAATGAGAGCACAAGGAGAGCGCAACTAAGGTATTTTGCCTGTCACACTGCTAATCCGCTTTTTTACAAAATAAAAATGTACTTCTTTTTTGTCTTATGCATTTTAGCCTGCAAATAATGGATTTCACAACTCGACAATTAAAAAAGGATTTCTGGCCTATTCTAATGCACCAGTGCCTATATCCACTAAAAACACATATATTATGTATTGAAACACAACCTTTTACAACCGGTCTTATGCCAATCAAATTCTAAAATTTACATTATTGTTAATATCATCAAAACATCTTCAGAACAAGTCAGTTCCCAAATCGCCCATTTAGAAGTGGGTCGAAGTTTACTTCTTTATGTTCACCAGCAGTTTTTTTTATCCAATTGTGACTGTCTTGATGCTTTCATGGGGTCTTCAAAATATTAAGTTATTTTTTTGTGTTCACAACACAAAATTACATGACACACAATGTTTGACAGTCTTTGAGACAATCTCAATATAGGTACACAGCCATCAATATAAACAGATGCCAGAGAAGAGCTTGATTTCTTCTGGATCATTTCTCTTGCATTCACCAGAGTTGCAATAAAATGCATCAAATCGGTGAAGATATTTTGAATCATCCACGTCTCAACAATCCATTTGTAACTCTGCCTGTATTGTACCACAATCCATCTCAGTTTGTCAAAAATTTATCACACTGATGTGACTATAAATACAGTAAACTGGATGGCCGGCCATTAGACCTGATGCTAGAAGTTAAATCAAAATCCCTCATAATTTGCCAAGTTTGCTGCCTCTGACCATGCAGCATGTCGAGCCCCATCCATTTCTCCAGCCAACTGATTGTCATCCCGAAGTCGATGACTCTGTCCACCAATATGAGCCTGACACTCAGGACATGTTGCCTCTACCATGGCACCACCACAGTCTCCGATTGCGTACACATGACCTGACAATGAAGGGTATACTTTTGTATTAAGCATTTGCTATTTAGCCTTCAAAGGTTAAAGCACTTACAGGGGCGATTTGAGGTCTTTGATTTTTTTTTCTGTCAGAAGATGGTCAAAAATAGAGGATGCTTCTACAAAGATACTTTGGAAGACTGTCAGAAAATTTATCTGGGTGTGCGCCCGACTTATCAACATTTTTGAAATTTGCATGAGACCATCAAACAGTTCAGTACCTTCTTCAGTGGTAAATAACAGGTGTTGTTATACAGGGTGGCTGTTCACTGTGGTAAGTACACAAATTCTCCAGATGCAAAAATTCACATGCCAAAGTAAAAACCAAGCAGACCAAGAGACATGAACAGTTTCACAAATGATCATTACTGTCTACAAGCTGACTTTATATTCAAAACAAACTTACCATTTGGACACTTAAACCAATGCCCTTGGGTCAGATCCATGGCTTTAACAATTACCTGGCGTTCTGTGTCTGTGATTCCTAGTCCCGAGGCTGGACAGGCCTGCTTCACATCATAGTATATTCTCTTCACTTTTGCCTCTCTTTCTGGAGAAAGTGGTTTCTTGTCACACAGTAGGGTTTTCACGCAATCAAACCAATCTGATAATTTGGGGGACAAGGTCCCCCCGCTGTTCTCTATTTGGGTTTTCATGATGTACCAGTTGCCCAGCAGGGCCAGGCGAGTTGTCTCTGCACTGAACTGGGTTGTCTCCTGCTGGCTCATGTGAGAGCGAGGCTGAACGACCCAGGTATAAAGGGATGTGAGCTCCTTCATAATGTCCTTGAGTTCACTAGCACATTTCCCAGTTTTCTTCTGCTGTTCTGCAAGCTTCGCCTTCATGCCAGACAGCCTTTTAATTAAGTTGATTTGATTCTCAATAAAGGCCAACTGATCGGCAGAAACAGTTCCACCTGTAATCTTGGATTCAAAATCGGCAAAGATGTTCTGCGCATGAGGCAAGCCACTTGGATCAATATTGATTTCAGAAATTTCCCTTTGAAGACGGTTCTGAGTTGTAAGGAGTATATCCCTATCAACAGCCAACTTCATTTTCACTAATTCTACATTTGCTAACTGAGTGTTGATCTGCTTGCCATAACGCAGGTTTCTCCTAATGGTTGTCTTACACGATGGGCAGCTTTTTAACTGAATGCTCATGTTTTTTGAATCACTGCTTTCCATTGCAAAGTACTGATCGAGTCCACTGACTTCAAAGTAGTGCTTGCAATCCTGGAGTTGCACGAATCGAGCGTCATCTTCATCCTCAGTCCCAAAGAATATTTTTGTCACTTCCTCGCCATTGCAAACTCTGCACAATTTGGGACATGGCTCACCGCAAAGGCCAATACAAGGATGTCCACATCTCAGCATCCTGCTGCAAGGTTCATTACATGGTGGGCGGTTGCATGGCTCACTGCACAGCTTCCTGCATTTGTGGTGCTTGCAGACCCATGCACAGGGTTCTATACAAGGCACACAGGGTTCTCCGCAGGTCTTTTGGCATTTGCTGTGCACGCAGCGGTTCTCACATGGCCTCTGACAAGGG